TCTCGGTGCCAGTGACGAGCAGCAATCGGCCACTCGCAGCAACCAGTCGGTGGCTGGCAGCAACGTGGAGACAGTCATTCAGTGATTCTGATAAGGAAACTCCGCCCAGATAGTGCTGAGATATGCTTGGGAATCCGGTAAGGCTGTCAGGAAGGGGTATTATTCTGTCATTTCGAAATCGGTAACGATGCGATGTGACAATCGCCGAGTAAATGTCAGGTCCAAAGACTAGCCCGCGGTTCCAAAGAAGTTATACGTCAGTATGCTCTTGCCGAGATTTCCCATAGATGGGTACAGGAAAAATAAAGCTTCTACTAGTGAAGGTATAAAAGCATCGATATGACGATACGTCCTGAATTTCTCGGAATTTGATTTGATTATTGAATCAATTCGCAATCTACGAAGTCGATTTTTCAATTTGCTGTTACATATTACATGTTAAGCATCAATATTCGAAAAGAGAGAAAGAGCGAGCAAGGAACAAATAAATAATAAATAAAAGCTCAATGGAATATATACGTGATATTTAAAAAGATATTTTTTTTGTCAAATTCTTAATGATCCTATTCAATTACCATCGCTTTGAAACTAAACAACGTAAAGTGAATAGTATTGTTTCACGATGTGTAAACATTTCGATCGTTGTAACACACCGAGCTTAGTTCCGGCTTTTCACATAAGATGAATCTATTTGATTGAACAATGGCTGTGATAACTCTTGATAACTCTTCTCGGCTTTCGTTATTTGCTAACTTTTATTATTATAAAAATGTTTATATAATTTTGAAACTTATACATATAATTTGGAGACAATTTATCAAACGTAAATAAAAATCTTGAAGAAATAATATAGTGAGATGATAAGAGATAAAGTAATTCAATATATTGGCATTTGTAAAAGAACTATTATCTATGCGATATTGAGCGAATAATACGATAATTACATGATAAAAGTGATAATGATTTCTTGTTTAAGAAGTTATTTGTGCGCAGGAATGATAGTGATTCAAAGTATAATCAGATCGTCCACCTTCATCGTATGTCGATTACACTCGTCAGTTTATATTATTGCGCGCGCGCGCATACACTAAATATACGTCGTTGATTATACGAATCATTTATAGATAGCCAGTGTTACTGCATTGGAAATCATTATAATACACTTTTGTAATAATAGGTTTGACGTACAGATGCGAATGCAGGATTGCCTTGTACAAGCATATACGTGGGCACAGCAGTGACATTTATGATTAGTTCCGAAGAAGAGAGAGATTTGCATGCTATGACGTGTCGCGCATTAGAAACACGTATTGTGCTTTTCAACTTGTATAAATTTTTTGTTTTGTTGTATTTGTCGATAATATATCAAACTCTAAATTTTATCTTATATTTATAACCAATAATAATAATAATAATAATAAATGATAATAAGTATTAATTTTGTTAGTATTAGTTGCATATCTATTTCGTTATAATGAAAATTTTAAAGACACTAAAATAATTTTGTACAATAATTATTTAATTATTAGAAATGTAATAAAATCAGTATTACTTCCTTTATTTGCGAGTCTATTGAAACTCTAATAGGAGTTTTGCTCAAATATAATGGCCATTGTTGAGAATAAACGTAGCCTGTTAGGAAATAATTCTATGCAATAATACTGTTCAAACAACTGATCTCAATAGAATCTTGGTTACCGCTTTAGCGCATGTGGAGTGACAAGTAACGCATATATCATAAATAATTAATTAATTACGCGAATGAATATTGCATACCACATTTATGGTCATACTCCCAGGAGAATACAATCAATTTGTATAACCGTGCGTTATATATCCAGAAAATGTATGTGCTACATATTTATGAGCTTAATTAATTAGCTATTGAATTACTTTTTAATACCTGTACAATTGAATTGTTACGAAGAATGCTTAGAAAAAAATTTGTGAAAGAAATACACTATACTTTATTCACACACACACATTATATCATTGATTCTTTGAATATGTATATAATAATTAATATAATCTCCAAATATCCTTAATATAATAATAATAAAACAATATATAATATAATCTTTTCATTCATTTTATTACATCTTTGCGTTCTTATATCTTCAATCAGAATTCGACTCTGGATACGTATTATGGAACTATTCGGAATGGATTCCGATCGGAATTGTTCAGTTATTCCCTAGATTTCTATTGTGTTTTCTGAGGTAATCAAAATAATTTCATTTGATATCCATTCCGAACAGTTCCATAATATACGTGCTCAGAATTAAATTCTGATTGAAAATATAAAAACGAATCCAAACATTCCATAATACGTGCCTTCTGTTTAGAAAATTAAATTAATATATGCGTGTTATGATGATAAAATCGATATTAAATTGATCGAAAAGTCTTTTGTCATCTTCAAAAGAGTTTATTCAATTTTTTTCCTCATTGTTATGTAATCGCTCATTTAAATACAAATATAAATTTATAGATCTCTACAGCGTGTGCATGATCGCATTTTTATGACGACGGGCGGTGAAATCCGCTGAGAACCAGAGACAACGAGTTAATACTAATTTGAAGGCGCAGACACTTTCACACGCCAGATAAAAGTAAAAAAAGTACCCAAAGCGTGATAATATTGCGTATTATCACGAGTTTCGTTATCAGGTTATGGAAGACAGTTATGCGCCTGTCAATTGAAGAAACGAAATGTTATCACTGTCGTGATACTTGATGAGAGACACGCAGTCTAGCAGAGAATCTGAATAATGCAAACTTTCGCATATGCAGCATTGTCGCGGTATACAATGTGTTTCGCAGTTACGTTCGTATCTTTCTAACTATTAGATACATACAATATGTGATTTTTCTTCTGATTTTTTTATCCAAAGAAATAGTCGCATTTTGCGTCATTATATCATTTGCACCACATTTAGTCGCGTTATGTTTGCGCGTGTCGGAAAATGAGGAAAGAGATCTGTAACTATAAACAATAAACATATGTACAGAGCATTTTTACATTATTTACAAAACGCTCAATAATTTATTTTTATAAGATATTTTTGTTGAAGAGAATTTCAAATCGCGAAAAATAATTCACTTTCACAGTTAAATCTAAACTTAAAGTCTTAACATTTTGATTTTTAATATTAATATGTTCCCAATAAGGCTCTTAGTGAAAGTTTTATTAGGTCAAATCAACCTAAAAACCAGATTTAACTACCTGTGACCAGCACTTAATTCAGGAAAATTTTGCAATGTGTTAAAAATAATTAAACTGCCTAAAAAATTCCATTAAAAGGAAATTAATTAATTTCTCAAATATTTATCTACCATGACGCAACGCACACGAGGCGAGTTTTCATTCTTTACAGCTCCCCTTGCGTTAAACCGCTCTCAATTAGCGTCTGTTTAGATATCGTGAGTCTTTTTAGAGCCAATCAGTACGCACTAAAGACTCGTAAATAGTATCCTGTCACCGACGTCTCATCATTTTCCTCGTTATCTCTCGATTCGTCTTGTTGTCTAGTAAATTAGACAGTACAGGACCAGCACATATTAAATCAAATGTACGTGAGTCCAATTTAACATATATCTCGTACAAGCACGTAATGAGATGATAATGCCCGACTATCAGCCCCATTGTAATGATACGTAAGTCGATCAGCTAAAACCGGTGGAATCTTTCGATAACGTGACTCATAATATATGCCAAACCATTTTATATCACGCATCATTGATTCAGGAATATTCTCGTTTTGGATAATCAGTGAATGTAAATATTGTCCTTCCTTTCTCTTTCTACATAATAATAAATGATCGCGTTACAAATTATTTATTATGTTTTTACATATAACTGTCTAGAATATATAAATTCACGTGCTTAATAGCAAATATTTGTTACACATCTGTTAGTTTACTCTTACATATTTAAGTTGACACACTGAAGAGTGTTCAAAAAGTTAGCAGAAATGTCTAATTTATTTATTATTTTACATTTTTATTATTAAACTAATTTATTATTAATTTATTATTACATTCTAATTACCACACCTGATTTATTATTCATTCTTACGTATTTAAAGTAATGCAAATTTTGTAACGCGATACTAACAGATTAAATTGATTGCGACGATTTCATACTTATTCTATCATATGATAAACTCTCTCAATTGAATTCTCAAAAATATACTTCAAATCAAATGCATGGAATCTAGCCTGAACTCAATTTGAATAAGTACACTCTGGTCTACTATCGTATCATTATTTCTCATATTTTCTATATTTAATTATCCAATCTTTATTGTACTAAACAATAGGTCTAAAAGTAGAATATCAACATACTTTTTAATGTTGTTTAATGGCTAATTTATTGTTTTCATGCTAGTTTAAAATAATAAAAACTATTGCAATATTTCGAATACTGTTGCAATATTTCGAACCTTTGATAAACATTATGATTACACTAATAATGAATTAATAATTGATAATAATTATCTGAGAATTTGCTTACTTAGATAGCACAGATGATCGTTATAAATTCAGGGATTCATCTTACTAAATTCTTTATAAATTGATGTAATGGATTCGAAATAAATTGTTCGTATGGTTTTTACTCACGAGAAATAAAACTCCACTGTGTCCATCTAATGGCGAATACTAGTTGTGGCTGTAGCATTTTTTTAACCCATTATAAATAGATTAAGTTAATTCATAAAGAATTTAGAAAGATGAATTATTTGTATTATTTGGATTATTATCAGAGAAGCTATATTTATCGATATTGTTCAATAAATATACTGAAATGTGTACCTCACACCGATCAATTCATTACTGTTGCAAAAAGTTCAAAATATTATAAGCTCAATATCAAATGTTTGTTAAACATCACTTCATATATGCGATTTAGTTAGCAACATTCGCATTTATAACATTAAAAATGCTTTTTGTAAACAGTCTTTAATATATTCACTACTTAATATATGTGCGAAACTTACCTCCTGATTTACTAGCAGTCTTGAATGCACCCTAATTGTAACTTCCTTTCCTCCGAGTCGATCACGTTCTATCAAACAGCTGGCATAACTATAGGAAAGAAAAAAGGAAAGACGTCACACTTCGTACCCGCGAATAAAATCGACAACTGGATTTCAATCAACGACGGAAGTTTCAATATTCTTTTATTAAAATATTTTATCACGATTCTCGCGTGAGCGACATTTCAAAAATTTTTTATGTTGGAAAAGATCAGGAAAATTGGAGAACAAGACATTGAGATGTCTTGTTGTTTTAAACGAGCTTGTTACTTTCTTGACTAAAGGAGAAATATGAGAGAGAATTCAATGTAGAATTATTTACAAAGATACTGTGTTTATACTCTTATCGACAAAAAAATTATGCAGAGAAACTTCTCTAAAATTAAATTTATTAGAATAAAAAAAATTCAATCTGAGATTGTCTTTAGTTCAATCTATAATAATACTATAAATTTTGTTCAATCTAATACTAAGTTATCAATTTTGTAAGAAAGGAAATATTACAATTATAAAAAGTTAAATTTATTGAAGTTAATTCTTACAATAAAGTTCGATCTCTTAGCGGTCTCTTGGGCAAATAACGTCGAGGGATTTGAACAGAATTAAAAGATGGTAACTTTAAACATGCGAACCGTCGATTCACTAGAGTTAGAGTACAAGTCGCCTTGACCTGGCGACGGCGAATTGCAAAGATAAATGCCGCCTATAAAAAGCCGTTGTTACAAATTCATGTAACCTTCACTACCTCCGCCCTATCGCTCGCAACTGCCACGAGCGGAACGATCGAACGCGAACCGCCCTTCGCCCTGTCCGAGCGCAACAATGACTTTCGCCTCAGTTTCTGTCTAAAGATGCGATGTAACCCGATAATTGAAAAATATAGATGGTTTGCCCTAGAAATTTTGCTCAATTTTGGCATTCTGTAAGTATTTTGTAAATAAACTTACTTCTTATATAAATTTTTATTTAGTAATTTAAATTACAGAGCATATATTTTTTTGACGCACTAAATTTATATGGATTGTTCTTAGGATCAATACTGTAACCCTGATGCTGGCAAAGAATCAGAGATAATACCGATGTATTGTGATATCTAAAAAAATGATAATAGCTTCTTGTTATCAATAATTCTACTGAATCCTTTACTACGCTTAATGATATACAGGGTGTCCGGAAATTATTTATTTTCTTTTCACAGAACTCTAAGAATTTTTTCAGAATTTTTTATTATCTTTTTAGTACCGTTTTTAGTATTTTCTTATTTTTATCGACATGAGAAAATACGGTATTAAAAAATTCTGAAAAAATTCTGATTCTCAGAACTTTATGAGAAGAAAGTAAACAATTTTTGTTTCTCGCTGTTTTTCTGTAAAGTTGATAATATTTGAGTAAAAAATTATTAAAAAAAAATATTCAGAGATTTTTAGTAATTAATGTCTCGTTAACTATTGCGAAAATTGCAAAATGGTAGAGGACTTTTCGACTCAGTTTAATCCGCTCTATCTTGCTATGATATTCTGATGCGATAATTTCCGGATACTCTGTATAAATCAACTGCTTATTCTTTTTATTAATTGATCACAAAAGCTTTTTCATCATTATAAACTATACGCTTTTTACAAACATTATAAATGACACTTATAAAATGACATTTGAACGATTAAAGCATCGACACATTATTACATTTAAGTGTCTTTAATTTTACTACAGACAAGTGTCAATACGAAATTTGATTTATGTTATAAATGCACACATAATTTTTTCATTTATGTTTGTACAGATACGTACATGCACTCTAAATTTCTTGCAGTGAATTTCACTTCAAAGGAGTGAAATCTCACTTTTTTTTTTAGTGGGATTTCACTTTTTTTAAAGTGAAAATTCACTCTAAAAATAGCGAAAATTGTCGCTCTTTTTCAAAAAGTGAAATATTTTCACTTTTTTTCAAGGATGGTTATATTTTCATTCTCTTGGAGTGAGATTTCACTGCAAGAAATTTAGAGTGTGTGTATTGTTAGAAGTCCATGACAATTAGATATCGTTTTCGAAAAAGAAAAAGAATTAAAAAAATAAAATAATAATTACAAAGTAAAATCGTACAAGAGTTAAAACGTACGACATTTAAAATCGTGTACTAAGTGATAAGCAAAAAATCTCGTCTGTAGCGAGTTCAGCGGCACTTATCACTGAGAAAGTTTAGTGCACTCTCAGTAAGTCGCGTGCATAGCTGCTTCAAGCTGGAACGTGGCAGGCAGAAAACACAATACAACTTGGTAAATTATTTTCATGTCCGGCCGCGTGGCAGATCGGTAAAATAAGATCGGTAATATAGACGTTAATTTGAAATACGACGACTATGATATGTACGCGATAAATTTTTCGAAGATTAACGCAATGGCAACGATGGAATTGGATGTCGATAATGTCGAGTTGTCAGGGTGTACGTATTCAATGACGCTACTTTGTTTTATACTCACAAACGCGCGCTCGTGATACATACATATATCCGTGTTATTATTTTTGTCTAGAATTTTTCTTTTATCTTATTTTTATTTTTATTCTAGAACTTTCAGCGTATGAAGGCAAAAATTGAGCAAAACATGGCAAAATAGAAGAACGTTAAACTTTAAATATATAAAAATGTTTCATTATATCTTTTTCGGTTGTATTCTTCAATATTCTTCATATAATCTTCTCATTTATTCCCAAAAGAGAATCTCAGAAAGAGAGAAAGTTTTTTCTTAAAATTATTTAATTTTTCAAATCCAAAAAAACAACTTCTGAGACAGTTTATGCAATCTTAATTATATAACAAGATATAATAAAGTTTTAAGAACTTTCTTGCTTAAGATCTCTTCAAGTATCAAAGGAATATTTCTGTTGTACACTTGCTCTTTTTAATTAGAGATATTAAAAATATCCTGCCTTATTATAATGCTCTCTGAAGCGTATTGTTAATGCTGTGCACGTGTCGTCCAACAACTCAATAACAATGTGACGCGCGAAAAACGTGGCTCTTGGAAAAAAAGAATATAAATCTTTTTTCGGAAAAAATTTTAGATACATCTTATCGCTTCTCTCAAAGTAACGATAAAGTTCGATATTGAATTAGATTATTTCTAAACAAATGATTGTACTGGTTATACTATAATGATTGTACCGATAAATGATTATGATGATATGAAGTATCAGATAAGAACATAATAAACAGACATCATAAAAATTATTTGCAATGTGACAGTATAAAGATCATGGATTTTATATTCGATAAAATTATATGATGGCAAATAAGAGAATCAAATAGTGTGGAAAAATAATAATGAAAAATATCAGATCTAGAAAGTATAACAATTCTACCTGTATCTAAAAAAATGACAAAGAGCAATAATATTTCCTCTATTACTATAAAATTATAATGATAATATTTATTTTTTCTTATCCGCTTTAATTGATCCATGAAAAATATTTACAAATATATATTATCTAAAGGTACATTAAAGAAGAGATATTTTTTGCAAATCAAAATCATTAAATTTTCTAATGATATAATAGAAAAGTCAAAAAATGAAATAAATAAAATAGAAATATATGTTTAGTGTACATTAAATAAACACACATTTAAATATATAATTATAAAATAAAATTGCAATACACTATAAAGATATATTTTACACGAATAAAGAAAATGCAGTAGATTAATTTTTTGTTTATTATCGAATAATTATTAAAAAAGAAAGAAGAATATCTCTCGAAGAAGTGGAGCGCAATGAGACAAAAACAACTTTTGCATTTGTGATGTGAAGAAATCTAATTCATTTATACTCAATGACTTGATAAGTTGTTGAATGAAGTGATCGGAAATATAACTGTCTCTTCGTCTTTTTCTAAAATCAAAACACTGGCCATAAAGTAAAGAACTTAACATTTAAGTTTATTTGTTATTAACCAAATTTAAATAAATTTATTGTTAATGCAATACACCAAGTAAACACGTACCATAGAGATGGGGAGAAATGGAATAAAATATAAAAATATAGTATACAAAAGAAAAGTGAGACGCGAGATCAAAGATAATACACACGAGATTTTTCCACACGTAAGAGGGCAAATCGAAGAGTACCTCTCATATATACCCGGATATGTCACGGAACGAAGATGAAAGAAAAGTTCATCAGGCAAGCGGGAGCGGGTAAGGCACGTCGCGCACGAGATCTAACGATCCTTCTTTCCCAGTCGGCAGGTGACTCGCATCCTCCCTCAAAGTGAGGACGAAGGAGAACGCCGGCGGACAACAACGACGACCCCGTGCCAACCTTCGGGTCTTTGCACGAAGGATCGACGGTGGAGAGCGTGCGGCGCGTGTTCGCGACGCGAGAGTACTGCTTCTCGCGAAAGGTGGAGGCGCCTGCACGCTCTTCGGTATTGATCCACGTGGACGACACTCCTCCTCGTTCGTTCGACCAGCCCCGCCGTCTCTTAACGTTAGCGTCCATCGGTGATTTGCCTCCAAAGTCCCATTCATTCATCGTTTCATCTGCCTGCTTAGATCCATAGAGATTTTCTTAACAGATAATTATTGTCTTAACAGACATTGATACGTATGAAGAAGGTAAACGATTAGATAAACTCGTGGGACGCGATTGACCAAGCAGTGAATGACCGATTAATGCAGCTGCAGCAGTCGCATACGCGTAAAATATAAATGCTTTCATACATACCGCGGAAACAAAATAAATGAGATGCTCAAACATAAAATACATGAACTTCAAAAATTTAAGAAATTTATTTATCTTTAACATCTTTCATTCCTCATTTATTTTCAATTTAGTTATTTTATTATTTTTATTTAATTATTTAATTTGTTTATAATCTGTGATTACATTACATTTATTACAAAAATATTTTTATTATATTTAATATTTAATGTCATATTACATAAATTTAATATTCAATATTTTATATTTTCCCGTGAACATAAATATTTATAAAAACATTATTATTCTCTCTTGTAATTTCATGTAATGTTTTTTAATAAAGGGATTATTAATAATTGCTTTTATATAAATATTATACATGCAGAGAAAACATTTTCTTTCAAGATCAATTTTCTCTTTCTTCTTACGAGTATTGATTTTAGCTATCGAATGCTGATTTAACTGTAAATGGTCTCTAGCATTTAAATGGTGATTTTATTCTGAAAACACTCTTAATATGCAATTTTGAAGGTCTTTTATTGTCAAAATATCAATTGTTTTCCTACGTGCATATAAATCTACTTATTACATAAAGTATTCAAAACAAACAATACGGATAAAGATTACCTTTAAAGTCTATGTTTAGAGGTGGCTCGACAGGACGCTGGCACGGCAGGGAGAAAGGATGTCTGAAGGTCGTTCATTGCCCCGAAAGAGTACAAACTGCTGACTAAAAGCTAATTGCGTTAATCTTTTGTGTTGAAGTTTAATAGATGTTTAATAGACTATTCACGATTATAAAAGCAAATTAGAAAATTATTTTATAAATATATTAATTATATTAAAAATATAAAATTTATTTATAAAATATGTGGATACATAAAAAAATTATATTCTTAAAAAAACCATAGTTTTAATATTTCTCTGTGTTAAAACGCATATTAATAAATTATTTGAAATAAGCATAGTACCAAATATAAATTTAAAAAATTACATTTTAAAATTACATTAAAAAATTATATTTTAAAAATTAGTTTAATTATCTCAGCTATGCTAAATAAATAATTCTTTGAATTATCGATGCAGTTAGTTTAAATTGTGATCAATCAAATTTATATTAATTATTTATTAACAATAAATTGTAAAGCTAGTTTTATTAAACAATAATGTTAAATATTTACGTAACAAACAACGTAATAAATTATATGCTTCAAAACTATTGCTCAAGGTGGCAATAATATAAGAAATAGGTACAACATTTGTATTATTGATTATAATGAGTTTTGTCTCTTTCGTTGAATACTTTTTTATAGTAAACTTCTCTAATCCCAATAATAAAGAACGTGAAGAAAGTTTAATTCTGATAAAACAATTCTTCCAATAGAAAAGTGTATTATATATCTAGTACGATATAGGATAACGAAACTTGAAGCTGCTTTCAAAAGTTAGGGTTGAACGGTAGGTAGAAAATTCTACTTCCTATAATGCAAATCGTTCTTCAGTTCCTGACATGAATGTATAATACTCGCGAAGAAGCGTCTAAGATTGAATTGGTTATTACTAGACGTCCATCAAGAAATGAGCCTATTATGTTGAAAACTAGTTCAGATTCGCTCAAGTGCACTTCGTAAATGTCAGGTTCTCTTTGTGAAGAAAATGATGAAAGTTGTAGATTACATCGATCCAATGCATCATTATAAATAGTTGACCTGTGCTTTATTTACAAATTAATTTCACTGTTTCCAATTAGCAGCATCAAAAGGAATTCTAAAATAATAAACTAAATTTTAAAAAAATTTTTTAAATACTATGTTGCTATAATTGAGAGAAAAATTGAGGAATTAATAGAGAAAAAAAATTGAATAAATTAATTAATTTAATATGATTTAATGTTCATTTTGCTTTATTATAGATTTAAACAACAGATTGCTGTTATTAATCTTAAACTATATATTCTAGTAAGACTATATTCAGCTGATTTGCTCGACTTCTGTCATGAAATTGCCATCAATACAGATTCTACCGCAGGACATAATTTAGTGCGAACGCAGTCAAACCAATTTGCTGCAATATACTGATCAAATTGATTGCTAAATGGCTGACATGCTAACTTCTTATTCGTTGAACAGTTATTGACATCTACAATATTCTTTGTTTTTGTGTTTGTATGCAAAATATATACAAACATTTAATTTGTTTTTAATCTAGCTCGTAGTCCTTCTATTTATTTATATTGATTTATTCTGATTGAGTCATATTATTATTTTATACAAAAATTTAATTTACTTTTCATCATCAGTTTTTTTATGTCATTATTTATGTACATGAAGAATCTCATATTTATATCATATATATATATATATATATAATATATGTATCTACTATTACATATATAAAAGAACAAATTCTAAACTAAAAGAAAATATAAATTTAGTACACAATAAATTTTAAAAGAATTGTAAATTACGTGTATATATGTTCTCCATATATAATTATTTTATAAGTATAAAATACAAACCACAAATAAACAATCTAATTAGTAAGCAAATGCGATGTATTTATTATTGAGTATAGAATTATAATTATATGTGTATCTCACATTGATATATAAAGTATGACCAACAGTTAACGCTGCTTTTACTTGTATTTGAGATAAGAATTTTAAATCTGTAGCATACATTTCTCGTATCATGATAATGGGATGTTGGTAACTTACCCATTTGAGAATTTTTGATACATCGATATACCAGATTCCTGCACAGCAATGTTGTTGAGTTATCCTATATATTTTTGTATATCTATTAAATTAATCTGCTTTCATGTTGTTGTACATTTTTACATTAATTAAAAGTTATTCTTTATTTATTGTAAAATTTAGTTATTATAATTTACATTTTTATCTTTTTATCATGTTATTCGCATTTTAACTATAAAGAGGCTTCATCTATTAAATTATCAATAACTCCAGTAGATGGCAGTACTGACAAGTAACAATCAAAAGGAATAATTTTCATTTTAATCAAGTTATTGTATAAAAGAAGTTATACAGTTAAAAAATGTATAATATAAGATGTAGAATATATAACAATATAGATCGAATATAATAATAAATTTTATATATTTTGTTTAATTTTTTAAATTTATGTATATACATTTTCTTTGTTTATTTATTCATACATTTTATATACATATTTTATATATTTTATATACATATAATTCTTTTGATTTTCTTATTCTTAGATTGTGTATAATAATAAATATTTATACACCCTAATTCTTAGAAAAATTTTTAGCAGAAAAGTCGAAAAATACTACACAAAATAATTATTTAATTCAAATGAAAACAATATATAATATACCCCAACAGCACAAAACTTGCAGCAATATTGCTGCGACATTGCTGCAACGTGTAATATTGCTACGATATTGCAGCAATATTGTTGCAACTTTTGTACTATTGGGGTAGTTATATTCTGATCTGGAGACACGGTAGTGTCTCGGCGCTAAGCCAAGCGCAGCGACATATTAAAATACATCGCACAAATATTTTTTTTATTGTACGCTGGAAATTATTTTGGAAAAAGATACAAATTCTTTTTTACTACTGCATGAGTAAGCTTTAAATAATATTATTTATCTTCCACAATACGTGTATAACTCAAACATAAATACAGGAAAGTAACAAATATACAAAGAAAAGATATATAAGAAAATATATAAACTTTTTAAATGTACATTTTGAATATTTTATAAATGTTTTGCTATACTTGAAAACAATGCTATTTTAACAAATTAAACGCTTGTCATTCTATAAAATACACTTGATTTGACAAGCGTTACAATAGATTTAGGCCCAATAGGTATTCATAGTCAGATCTTGTACTTAAGACTTCCTTAAATTTATCTTTAGATGCTCAGTAGCCAATGAAATAATTCGTAAAGCATCTGAAGATAAATTTAAGGAAGCCTTAAATATAAGGCTTGACTATGAATACGGGCATTAGTGTCATCTTCGTTCTGAAGATCGGTATCCTCGAAAATTGGCTAAAGCCGTTAAGCTGTTAAGCACGCTTTCTCTGACAGGTCTAAGGGTTCGATCATCTCACCATCTTAAGAAAACAATCATGTTCGAGTTTCTCGCCTCATAGGTAACGCGGAAAGTCATGGCAAAATTGAACGGCAATGAATGGAAATCTTAAACCGAGATGGTTATGAACCAAAAGAAAATAACACGGAAGCGAGATTGAGAATAGCCAGTTTTGATGTGGCGATGAGAAAGAATCAGATAAGGAAGCGTAGCTCTTCCATTGACATTTCCTTTGTTTAAGAATCGAGATAAGGCCAGGCAAGGTCCATGTGTGGAAGGTCCTATGTTTGAGCACGGACAGGAACAAACCGGGCACACCTCCTTTTCTCTCACTCTCGAGTCAAATATTATCGGGTGCGCGTATACGTATGTATTTATCCGCATAGTTTACTCCGGACACCTGCCAGTAACCTATAGATCAGCACCTCGACTCTCCGTCTAACCATTGTAATCTCTTACAGAAATTTAATACTGAAAGATGGCGATTAATTACTTATTCTTAATATTAAAAGCACTGTCGTTCAGTGCTTTTAATAGATACTCAAAATAGGTATTTTCAGTATTGAATTAGATTTTTGTAAA